AGGACAGTGTCAATAGAGCTGTCAGGGAAGATCCAACTGACAGGATTCCCAGCTTTCAAAGAGAATATCCAAATCCTGTATGTAGCTGTTCAAACTGACAGGCACTGAGCTATTCTCAGGATCTGGGTCTGATTTTCAAGCATCCTCACAGCTAGATACACTACCAAGGTGTCAGTGCTGTCTAAGTGAATGAAGGAGTACTGTTAGCACCACGCTGACACTAAACATAAGTCATAGGAGTTATTTATCTCCAACTTGTTACTGCTCATTTGTAAGCTAGATGACACAAACCAGTGAAGAGAATGAGACTTCACAAGTTAACAATAGCAACAGGAGGGGTAAATTGGGCCAACTCAGGGGCATCTAGTAGGGGAAAAAAAAAGTGATAGCAGAAGCTGTTAATCTTTCACCTGACAACACACAACAGACATGTCTGAGCTACTCCTTTCCATAAGTGGAATAATGGGCTTTTGTACAGGCACACTGGGCTCTCCTTCCCACATAGCTATAGAGTGCTTCACAGAGGCTTTATTTTGTGATACTACCCATTCTCCTTCCAGAATCACTCCTGCGAAAATCTTTATTACCTCTATTCTTAAGCACCGAATAACCACTGAATACTCTAAGACATTTTCACCTTCAACCTGTATTTACCAGCACAACAATCTAATCTTAACCACCCATTTTCAGCCCACAGCTCTCCTGAAAGGCATCTCAAAAGATGATAAGTACTTGTACACTGGGTCACTGGATCAGTCTATTACAGTCTGGGATGTTGCACGCAGTGAGTAATCATGAAATGTTAGTCTGTACTCCTTCCTGAATTAAACAGGCTTGTAGCATCCTTCAAGTTGTAAGAAGGGAAACAGCTAATGCAAGTTTCAGAACAGAGGCTAGAATACCAAATCCAGAGGTCACATATTGTGACCAAAAACTGCAATTGTAAGACCACAGCTGGAGTATTCCAGCACATAGTAGAGAAAAATATTCTGGGTTCAAATATCAGCAGCGAGTTAAGGGCAAAGCAAGAAAGGTTTCTATAAGTTTTATTATGCAAATCATCTCTAATGCTCTAAGGAGAAACAAGCAGCATGGCTTATTTTTTCCTCTCTCCTCCTTGCTCTTCACATGACCCAGTTTTACTGAGTTCAAATTGTTTGGTGACAAGGGACCGTTTAAGGGAAGTCCAATTTTTTAAGCCCAATCCTGCTACAGAGTAAATGTTTTATTCTGAGCTTGGTTTTTGCTGGTGCCTTGCTGGCTGTGCAGTGTGTGCACACAACTGCTAACAGAATTGTACCAACTGCAGATGGATTTGTTGCAATAACAAAAGTTGGTTATATAATCAATCCATGAGAAGTTTCGCTGTCCTAAAACCACTCCTCAGTACAACCCTCTCCAGAATGTCATGGCAACGTGTACAGTAAAATCCAGAAAGATGGATGGAGAAAACTCAAGCAAGCAACAGTACAACCAAGGAAATTCTTCTGGGAGCCTGATTCACAGCAGCAAGCTCTCTCAAATCTGATCAGTGGTGTAAAAAGCAAAGATGAATAGAATCCCAGACTGGTTTGGGTTGGGAGGGACCTTAAAGCTCATCCAGTCCCAACCCCCCTGCCAGCAGCAGGGACACCTTC